TGAGCTGGATCACTTGCTGGTTAGTGCATCATCACACTTCTCATTGTCATGGGACACTTTCCTAAGGTAGCCCTACACTTGGTCCTTTTTGGCCGTGTCTAGATGAGTATGGTTGTGAGAGGTATGCAGCACTGCAGACATGTCTGTGGCACCACATACTGCACGTTCAGCTGTTCTCCACACTGTGACGTAGTAGTGTGGGGGGGAGGGATTTAATTCAGGGACATCCCGGGGTCAAAAAAACCTGTACAAAAAAGTAAGTGGAGTGGCACACCGGGTGCAGCACGTACCACCCAAAACCGGTGGTTGGCCAGAGCCACACTCCAACTAGTGCTGAGGCTCCAAGAGGCAGGATTGCCACTGCTGCAGTCCCAGGAGGTCCCCAGGACCCCAGGTAAAGTGGCTGGGGCCAGCCCAGTGCTGGTCCCAGCCTCTCCTACTCCACCAGGGGAATCTGCTGCATGCCAGAGGGTGCATGGCACAGGCATTCCCTGGGGACAAGTAGCAGCAGCACAAGGTGTGCTGCTGCTTCTTGTCCCTGTGGAAACAAATGTCCTCGCTTGTGTAGATGTGGCCTTTGAGATTTGCTGCAATCTATCACAGTGTACCACTACATTCATTTTAAGTGCTATGATAGCATAAGATTTTTTTAGTACTTATTCCTAGAATTTCCATTGGAAAATGCCTTGGCTTCTAGTGCCCCAGTCATAGCTTGCAAAATAGTATGCAGCAGTGTTCAGCACTGTGATGGTGCTTTAGCTTTACTATTTTATTACATAATGATCCAAGCTTTGTTACAGCTGTCCTTCAATTTATAATTTTAAAACATTTTATTCTAAAAGATGGATGTCCTCTGTAGGTATAGTGCTTTTACTAATAAAATGACTGGAAAAAACCCACCTTGATCAGTTCTGTTTAGGTAATGGATATCAGACAGTAGGTACAGTACTGGCAAAGAAAGCCACATCTTTATGATAAAAGTAATACTGACTTTTCCTGTAGGTTTTCACACCACCACTTTTGCATATTTTACAGTGGTGTTGTTATGAGGAAATCCAGAATTGTGTAGCTTTATAGCAGTGTTGTAAAGTCATCCTGTGGACCAGATTCTGTGACCCTGACTTGCATTGAATAGACCTTATTTTTACAAGCAGTTGTACATTGTAGGAGGGCTCATGTAGTAAGATGCAACATAGGTGGCAGAACTTCACAGCTTATGAGACAGTGCAGAATCAGATTGGAGGAAAGAAATCCTGGGTTAAGCAGGTGATTGTTTGTAATCATTACCAGAGGAAATAGTGATAGTTAAACCAAACGGGTACTGTATCATTTAAGCACAACCATCCCAAAGCTTTTAAATCTGAGCACCCCAAGTGGTGGACCTAAATTTTTGTCCTGATTTTTTCCAGAGATGCTGAATTCCCATTGATTTCAGTAGGGTCCATGGGTTTTCAGCACTTCCAAATTAGACACCTAAGTAAGAGCCTGTTCTGCTGCTTTGGCACTTTATTTTGGACACCTAGGTTTTAATATTTTTGTCCAACATTTAAAACCAGACAAACAACCCCCCTGCCCTGCAAAACACTTCAAGAATCCCTCTTCAAAATGCAGGAAGTATAGTACAGTTAAACCTAAATCATTGTTCAGTTCTAATAAGGTAAAGCCAACAGGTGTGGCCCATAAAGGCTAGTGCTTCAGTTTTATTTGGATTTTTGGAGAAAACATGGATGTGTCTTTCTTACACATGCATCTTTTGCCTAATTATGTTTCTTGGAACACTTTGTAAAAGAATGTGATGTTCTTTCATAAATAATTCCTGTTGACTTAAACATTATGCAACTGTACTAGAAGTTAAAGCCAGATGAGAATAATTTTAAATTGAAGCATTATCTTTGTCATATTCCTCCTTTTTTCTCATTATTAACATTGTTGAATTGACTAAACAGAACAGCTTTAAAACTGGAAAACAGGAAAAAGAACACCTACAGCTGGAATAGCAATGCTCTACACAGTCTAGAGAAGTGATTCTAAACCTTTTTAGCGTTGGGGAACCCCTTTGTAACTTCTTTGAATTGTGTGACATCTCAGTTGAGAACCACTGTTTTACTGTGTCAGGCCCTATAGTTTTAAGCAGTTCCCCTTCCCAAACCTTACTTGCCCTGTTCTCCCTACAGAGGCAGTACCTTTGAAGTCAGAGGTGTTTGATATAATAAACAGTAGGGCAGTATGGTTCTGTTGGGAAAAAGAATGTATAAGGCATAGGATCATGTGGGCAAATGATACAGCCATGAACTTTTTACCCTGAAATTTCAAATCAGCAACCTGAGTCCAAGCCAGTGTCAGTTAGGTATTTTATTGTCCCCAAACAGGCTAATCAGTTAGTTGTGGGTAAACTGTCTGCACTGAGAACCAAACTCTTCATGTAACAGGTTTTTTCCGTGGATAACTTTGCTTTTTTAAAAATAAATAAATAAATAAATTGTCAAAATGAGAGGCTGCCTAAATCAGTGGTTCTTGTTGGGCTGCTACTGCCACAGGCAGGTGGAACTTCATGGTGCACCTTCTGTAGACCCAGGTTGAGAAGCTGGTGGGGCAGAAGTGCCCAGTTTCTTTGCAGCCTTTCCCTGTCTGGCCCTATATGCTGACCTGCCTGCCTCTGTTTCTGGGAGACACTATGTAGGGGCAAGTGCAGAAGGGCTGTGGCAAGCGTGTAGGCTCTTGTTTGAGCCACTTCCCAAATCTGGCTCTAGCAGGAGGTGTGCAGTACCCACGAAATAGTCTTGCATCACCCTGGTTGAGAACCACTAGTGTATAGAGAGTGCAGAAAAAGACTGGATGTAAAGGGAGGAGTTTGGATGTCTTGGTATTTAGGTGTTTCACACTTTTTAATTTTGAATGCCTTCCTTTCCCAATTCATCATTTACAGACCTTGGAAAATGCTTTGCTGACATCAAAAACTTTGAAATGCTTCTTCCTAACCTTCATTCCCACTTTGTGGTCAGTATTGTGGATGTGGATGTTCTATTAAAGCAACTTGCTTGTCCTCCCAAGCAGGAATCTGGGAATACTACTAAAAGAACTATAACATTATTTCTTGGTTGTGCTGGAAATGTGGGATTTAGTCACCAAGCAAAGATATTGTGTAATTTGGACATCCTTCTTTCCTCTTGGTGAGATAAAAGTAGGAGAGCACCTGTGTTGTGCTGATCTGTGAGAGAATTTTAAATTGAAATAGGCTTGAGATACAACGTGGACCCACATTTCTAAACGCACTGAAATGGCAGCTGTTAATTTTGTAAGGTTTGATTTTAGTTGTTTGTAGGTAGGGCTCAGCTGCTTCCAGGTAACAGTTTCTTTGCTCCCCACTCTCTGCAGACAGGCCAGGCCAGGCCAGCCCAGGCCATTTGGGCAGCTGTGGATTGAAGTGTTATAGGTGCTCCTTGCCCCCCTCCCCAGGAACATCTTTTGTGCCAAAGGCTGTTTTTTGCAATGGCAAAGAGCTGTGGTAAAAATCCTACCCTATTTGTAAAATCCAAAGTGACCTGGATGTTCTGGCTTTACTGCTGTGGTAGTATCAGAGCAAGGTCTAGGATCTAGCCAAGCATCTGTAAAAGTGTCTTAAAGTACTTTCTCCACTTCTCTTTCTATTCTTGAGCGTATTCTATCTTGTATTACAAGAAGAGGAACCAAAAGGGGCAAGTCTATGAATGAAAGGGATTTAGTAGAGGTTTGCAGAAGAAGAATGAGTGCCCATGTGATCACTGAACCTCTTGATATGGATTGGGACCATGTTAACATGGTCAGTCATTGCAGTGATATCTGCTGGGATGGGTCTAGCTGTAATGCAGTTTTGAGATTGCAAAATTTTGTAGTACAACATGTGGCACCCTTGAAAAGACAGAAGCAAGCAATTTGGTTTGGCATGCATGTGTAGAACAGTCTCATGACCTTTCCTAAATAAGAAATGAAATGAACATTCAGTCTTTCACAGGGGAATTCCTTGGTCTTTGAGGGCAATTTGAAACAGATAATTTTAGGGCTTTGTCTCTATTATGTAGTAAGTGTAAATCATGCAGTACATTTGCATGTGTCTTATGCAGGCCCCTAGATTTTCTCTCTCTCTCTCTCTGTGTGTGTGTGTGTGTGTGTGTGTGTGTGTGTGTGTGTGTGTGTGTGTGTGTGTGTGTGTGTGTGTGTGTGTGTGTGTGTGTGTG